GGGAGGACATTTTTTCCCAGGAGAAAAAAGCCTTTAGTTCCCTTTTTTAGCTTTGACACGTTCTGGCATCAATATATTTCTTCTGTCCTCAAATATCTTTCTTCTTACACGGAAGAAATTCTTTCCTGTTCGGTGAACCGATATTCCAATATGAATTTTTCATTGAATGTGAAATACTAGTTCCATTTCGAAAAAGACTTTCTTTCCTTCCTTTTTTTTTTCTTGGAGAAGAGAAGAAATTGATGTGTGAAATTAATTTCTTTCTTGAAAGTAAAAGTACTACTATCTTAATTAAACAGCATCGGTTACCATTTTCTTTTCCTTTCTAATTCGGTGATATTTCAAACAAACGGATTAGCTGAAGCTAGTCGATAACTTTATTACTAGGAAACTAAGTTCGTTGTTTTCTTAATGAATGTAATGTAAACAACAAAAAAAATAATGATTTCACGTCGATATTTTTTTTTTTTTGACTTGATTGGAGGACTTTATTCTTAGCTAATGAAGTCCAGAATGTTCGGAAGATCATAAGAATCTCTTGGATTCAAATATTTTGATTAAGACTTAAATTAAGTTTTTTTGGCAATATTTTGGCGTTTCATGAAAAAAGAATGAATCTTTTGTAAGTGAAAGAATGTATATTTACGGCTTTAAATTTCGTTCAAAAACGAAGTATATTCTTTGTGGAATTTTATGATCCAGATTTTAAGTTTTACTTTGATAAGAAAAAAAATGGTCCACAAAGTTTATATTTTAATGCTTATAATCTTATTTTTCGTTATTTTCTTATTCAGGCTTTATGCCAACAAAAGAAACGAAATGCATTTCGATGCAAATTGAAAACGCAACTATTAATTTCATTGCCTCTTGTTATTGTATATATCCATATATATAAACAAAAACTGCTAGCGCGATTAAATTTTGTAAATTTTAGACAGGTTTCTGGACTATTTTATGAATTCTTTAGCAAACTTTCTGGAATAAATTGTACATAAATTTACAATATTTAAGAGTTAAACTTTCTACTGAACAGAAAAGACTTAGTTTAGGAGGATTTTGACGAGGCTCAATGTTATTAAATTTACTCTTCTAATTTCCTTTTAATACGTAATTAAAATAATTTCCAGATTATTCAAATAATTTTCATGCTAGCAATAATATTATTCGAACTTATTTAATCAAGTGTTTAACGAGCAAATTGTAAAAATTAACGTCGAAATTGTAAAAATTAACGTCGAAGATTTAAAATGATAATTCCAATTGTAAAAATTTACAATCACAAGTATCTTATCAAGGATAATTATAGATAAAATATAGATAATTATAATTATGGAAAAATAAAATATTTATTATATTTATACTGTTACTAATGCCATTTGCCAATACCAGCAAACCTGCTATGGGAACCAAGCGTTTCAGTACCCCCAGAAGCGATTCAGTACCTCCAAAAGTATAGATTTGTTAAGGGAACTTGGAGGACTTCATGATACGACAGATTTAACGTGCACCAGTCACTATTTAATAAGCGGGGATTCTTCGGCTGGCGGATTCGAATTCACGATCTCACTAACATGAGCCCAATGTCCTAAATACCAAACTATCTCGGCCCCTATATTATTTTCATAGATTAATTTATAATTAAAATTAAAGATAAGATATTTAAATTGTATCAATGATAAAATTTTAAAATCTAAGTTAGTCATGTCATCGAACTAGAAACTACATACATTTCAGTAGGGGTTAAATTTAAGAAAATTTAGTCACTGGTTCAAAAAACCCGTAGCTAACAAATATTAGCATTTTGCCCACCTTTTTACTGGTCCGTTTACATCTATTAGATCTATTTTAAAGTTACTAAAGTGAGTTTAAGCAAAGAGATTACTGTATAGAGTATGAGTAACATTCACAAGTACGATGAAATCTGTTTTATGACGAAAACACAGATTAAACCCGAAACTAAAAATGTAAAAACCATAGTAGAATACCATAAATTTCGATCTCGGGGACCACTGATAATTGAAGCGGTCAATGTAAAAAGGGGGTAAGTAACATTTTTATGGAATCTGAACAGATAAACGCAATGTTCACAGTTAGAACGGGACGTCTATCATGGCTACATCTCGAGTAACTTCACCCAGTAGTTTTTGTTCATTATTGAAAAGGGACATGAGTAGCAAGTATACCCTGTTTCTACAATGACTTGGTATAACTATAGCAACAGTGTATCATCGAAAATAGATTACAATAATTGTACAATAATTGATTACAATAATAATTATTGTAATCAGTGCTAGAATGAGGCCTATCAATATTATGTTTTCGGAATTGTGTCAAAGTATTAATTTTAGTATTTTTTAGCACTTAACTAACATGTGTTTAGTCTTTTAACACTAGTACACGCGTGACTTATTTTATTCGCAACCAAAAAATAAAAATAAATCGAAGCAGCTCAACAGTTTTCCAGCAGTAACTAACATATCAATGCCACTGAAACAATAAGACTGACGGAACATGTCAAGAACACGTGACTTTTCATACAGCCATGATGTACTTGGAAAATTAGTTGTTAGGCAGTTCATCAACAGTTTGGTAGCTCCTGAGAGCTCAGCTCCCAAAGCTTATCCAGCTGGACTGGTACTCATTAACAGCAAAAAATGGGATGACCTCAGAACCCTTTCGAACTATGTTGTTGGTTATGACTTTTATTCAATATGGCAGAGATAGCCAAAGACTCAAACAGGAGTTAATTAAGTTACACGAAATCTCAATGAAGATAGCGATGGAGGGAATGAGACTGAATGAGCAATTTCTGTACATTCTTAGTTAATAACATGTACTTATGATTTGTCATCAACTTATACAGTGTGTCAAAAATTTGTTTGAGGAATAAAAGTATTGCTTTTAACATAAAAGGATGGTTCTTACTTCATTACTTTTATCTTTTGTTTAGTTTTCAATGTTAAATGGAGATCTGTGTTAAATTTCAAAAATGCGCACTTCCAACAGCTACACCCATTTCTTGGTATCAAATACCGAGTAATTTTCTATAATTATCCTAATGTCTAATGCCTAAAAAAGAGAATCCAACAATTTGGAAGCAACAATCTTTCCACATTTGACAGAACTTTTTTGGCTTTTCTTCGAAAGTGCAGAATTTTTTAAAACTTTTTATAACCGTCGTTGAACAGCCGACCCAATTGTCAACCAATTGTGTGTTTACGACTACTAATATTCAACTCCGTAACCTTGTAATTTTGAACCAATCCAGAAGACAAGGAAAATTCTGGTTTTTGATTTGTAATGGAAACATGAAGGACATTGTGACAGATTTAACGTGCATCAGTCACCATTTATTACATGGCGAGTCTTCGACCGGAGGGAATCGAACCCACGACCTGTTGTACATAGGCCATGTGGAATACCAACCATCAACCAGGCTATCCCGGTTCAAAAAGTGCCAATTTGTAAAGTACCGTTTAATATTGACTTCTTCAATTTATTATATGGTGGTCAGAATCAAATTTTAGTCGTTCCGGACCAACAGACCTGCGTTGATTTCCAGTTCTGATTCCTATATGCGATTTAGATTTGAAATATTTTCTGATTGGGAAATAAATGACACATCTCGTATTACTATGAAGTAAGACTTTTTTCCCCCAAGTCTGTCTTTCTTCTTTTTTCTTTATCTACTTGCAATTGTAAGCATTGAGCAAAATTAATTTAGTCTCTCGACATGAAATTCGGAAACATAGAAGCATTTTTTTCTGACTTGATTAGATTTTCCTTATTCCAATGAGGCGAACCGGGTTCGAATCCCAGTCGATACGAATTCTGCATCCGGCTTGCACGGACCACAGTACTGATGTGAAATATTCTCAGTGGTAGACGGATCATGGGTTAGTCCCCTTGCCGTCAGGCTAACCGTGGGAGGTTCACGTGGTCTTCCTTTCCATGCAACGCAAATGCGGGTTCGCTCCATCAAAAAGCCCTCCACGAAGGCAAATTTCACCCAATACTCGATCCAGGAGTTCCCTTGTCTTCTGGATTGGGTTCAAAATGTATAACTAATTAAGAAATTTGTCCTTATATAAACTTAATTGAATCTAAAAAATAGTCTCTTTCTTCCATAAATAAACCGTGTATTTCTTTAAAAACGATGTACTCACGACACTGCAATAGATAAAAAAATTTGATTTATAAATCGTTAATTGGTTAATGTGGTGGACTTCTATTGATTAAATTTGATTTATGTTTTTCTAATTTGGTTATATTTAATTTGTTTCGAGAAAATTTATATTTTTGTTTCGAATAATTTAGGAATGATTTGATTTGGCTAATTTAAATTTTTTTTAAATTTTTATAAATTTTATTATTTGATTTTTTTTTTACTATTTTATTTATATTTGATTAGTTACTTCTAATTTGATTTAATTTGATATTTTTTTACTAATTTGATTTAATTTGATTTCTTTTTTACTAATTTGATTTGTTTGACTTAATTTCATGTTATCTGATACATTAATTTAACTATATTATGTCATTATTATAATATATAGAAGTCTTTTTTTTCGCATTTTTTAATTTTATTTTTACTGAAACAATTAATCCTCATACTTTGTTTAAATCTTCAATTAAGCTACGCTATAATAGTCACCTAACATATTTAAAACAAATAACCATTTGAAATGTATTTTCAAGCAGCCATCAATAAAAATTACATTACAAAGGAAATTAACTTCCCAGACAAAGTTTTTGTTAAAACTAATACGCAAATACTTACGTACGATAAGATTTGAATCCCAGTTGTATCTGATATTACTAATCCTCAAGTATGACTTAAAGCTTATTTTTTAAAATAAGGTCATGTTTACTGAACACATTCTTTTTATTCTAAAAGAATTACTTTGTTCTTTGATGACTTTGTTTCATTTTATCTAAAAAAATATATTCAACACTTACTACTTACCACTGATAACTAAGATTTTGTTCTTTCATTGTAGGTAGAACGATTTATTTTCGTTTCAAGGCTCTAGAGACTTTTCAAGATAGGTACTTGTAGAATTCTAAATGAGTAAGTGACTTCTTGTACTTAAATAATGTTTCGAGAATTGTTTTGTTAAAACATTTATTTTTTGTTAATATGGAGCTAAGTTGTTGGGTATTATTTTTTATTGTAAATATCTTACACGGGGTTTTTCATTTAATTATTATATACAGAAGTTTTGCATTGTCTTAATAATTTTTTGAATAGAAGTTATCATTTAGTTTTTTTAAAACATAAGCCTTTTTTAAATTTGCTTCATATTATGTATTTTAAGGCGGCAAAGAGAATTTATTTCTATACCCATCTGAATTTAATACTGATTATTTTTACAAACATGTAACAGTTCCTACTACAAAAATAAACTAAAAAGAATATTTAAAAACTATCATTTTATTTTTTAAATTTATTTATAATTTGACTCTCATATGAGCCATCTGGCTTTTGTACTTAAATTTTATCGCTATTGACAATTATTGCTTAATGTTTTTGTTTTTCTAATTTCGTCTCGTATATACTAAGTCCGACGAAAACTTTTGTCTGCAAAAATACACGCATCATCTTACAGTTATGCAAGGTTCTTTTATAAAAGTAATTAAAAGGGTATTTACCCTTTAACTCCACAGTAATGTTCTAACTTAAATAAACACAGCATACATATTCAAATTTGTAAGGAAAGTATGCGACAGAACTAAACGGTACATTTGATATGTACATTTAAGATTAAATGCTCTACCACTTTTCTTTTTTTATAAAGACACCTTTTGAATCGTTATATAATGGGACCTGTTCTTTCTCAGACAAAATGTTACTTGTAGACCTAATATTTTATTGCCACCTTTATTGCATTTAACTATTTCCTACTATATAGATTCTTAGTGAATATAGTTGCTTATTATTATCATGTACATAATTGCTAATTATTTACATGAGAATAATAATAGGTTGACTATTCAATCTTATCTCAATTATTCACAAGTCACTTGTGAGTGACCGACACTTCCTGCAGTTTGTGAGCCACACCCCTGATTCACGTCTTCTCCTCCCCCCACCTTGATCAATTCACAATATTCCATGCTATTAATCTTTAACATTTATAGATCACACATCATTAAGTCCTACGAATTGGTCTGAGCAGCCCTTCGGGGGTAGACACTGAGATCTTGCATCCTTTGAAAACTTCGAATTCCATGTTCTTATTGGCAAAAGATTATTTTAAATGTAGAAGTTACGCACAGTAATATTGAGATTATTAAAATAAACTAAGTGTACCATTTAAAATGCGCAGAATGAATTTCGCCTTAATTCGCACATAAAATTATTATTTGTAACTTTTTAAATGAATGCAAAAGATTGCTATATCTGTTTTGTATCCAGCTTTTCACTTTTTAAAGTGCTTTTCATATTCTAAAAATTGTTTAGCTAATAATCTTATAGCTTTTTATGTTTCATTTTATAACTGTCGTTGAACAGTCGACCCAATTCTGATTTAACGACTATTAGTTTTCAACTCAGTAGCCTTGTAATTTTGAACCCAACCCAGAGAACAAAAGAACTCCTGGGTCAAGCATTAGGACAAACTAGCCTTCGCTGAGGACTCTTAGATGGAACTAACCAACATTTAAGTTACATGGTGAGAGAAACCATGAAAACCTCCCATGGTTAGCCTGTTGGTAAGGGGATTCTAATGCATAATACGCTACCTCTAAGGGCATTTTCCATCAGCACTGTGGTTGGTGCGAACCGGGAGCAGAATTCGCATCAACCAGTCACCGCTAGGATACGAACCTGAGTCACTAAATTGGGAGACAAACGCTCTCTCCCTTAGCCACCACGACATATATGCATTTATGTTTGTAGATATACTACGATGCACGATGTGTTTTATGGCTTAATTATTGACTAAATGATTTTTTTTAAATAAATGCATAGTTTTGAATTGAGCACGCATGTTAGCTATGAGCAATGTTCTATTTTTAGCACAACATTAAAAAATACCCCATTTTCTGATTACAAAAAAGTTTGAGGAAGAAAAGTGCATTTTTTTGAAAATGAATAAGATAAAACTATTTTAAAGTTTCAACGATATTTGAAACATAAAAAAAAAATTATTAATTTAAACAATATGTACGTAGAAAATATTGGTTTAGTTATTAAAATTTGACACAAAATTTCGCAGAAATTCTCTGAAATGTTCAATTATTCAAATGTCGCAAGCCCACAACATTATTTTGACTTCATAAACTTTAACGTGAAATTGAAAGATTCTCCGTGTTGCTTCTAAAATTAAATTTAGAAAACAAATAACTTTTAAGTGGATAGTTGGATTCTGACTAGAGTTTCCAAAATTAAATTTTACGGAATTTCAATTCAATTATAGAATTTGATTTGTGTTGCATTTACAAACAAGTTTCCCTTTCGTATCTAATTGTTCCAATTCGCCGACCACTTTAAAACAACTACCTTAGAAATTGGATATGTAAGTCATCCACAATATCACGAATATGAAAGATTTGGTTTTCTGCTTGCTTTTGAGAATTTTACCTTTTGTGTTAATTTGGTTTTCAAATAATTTACTTCCTATAACATATAAAATTCATGATGTGTTCAGTTTTTTATTAATATTTTTTGAAATTATTGAAATAAAAAAAGATTGAGTAATAAAAATAAAGAATTAATTCTAGATTATTTTTATTTTGAGTTATTATTATTGAGTTATTATTTGAGATTAAGTACAATTTATTTTGGTTTATTTTTCCTTTTTGTAAACCCAACTGCAGTTATTCTTATATCCCTTTAACGCAGATGAGACACCGGTGTTTTTTTTTTAATATTTTTATGACGCTCTAATTAAGAGCAAAAATATATTTTGGCATTTTTCTTATTTATAATTTTTTTTTAAATGGCGAACATTTGGGTTTTTTGTCCCATTGGCCACAGAAATGCCAGAACTGCTACTCTCTTCTCGTTACCCAGTGGGCACCTGTGGCGAAGCCACGGCGGTGGAGCAGCCACAAACCACACACAACCACAAACCCGTTTATAGGGTGGGTCACATGCACACAAAGAGGAAAGGACATAGAACACAGAGATTTTTTTTTTAATTATAAAAAGCATAATAATTACCAAAACAAAAATCTTTCGGACTTTGGGACATTGGATTATTGGAATTATACTTGTATTAAATTATAAAATCCGAAAAAAGTAGTTAGAAATTTTTTTTCCCATTCATATTAAAATTTTTTTCAATGAATCATTTTGTAAATTAAAGAAATTTCAATAAAGAATAACTTTCTCTTAGATCTAAATAACTGCAAATAAGAGCAAATTTTAAAAATTATTGTTTGGAAGTTAGCTGTGTTTGGAATATTTTGCTTTTGACATGGAAGAAGACACTAATGTTTCATGATGAATTTCATGACCATATTAAAATGCTAAATGTATTTTCCCTTTAATTAGGCCTAAATTGATACAAAAGTAATGAAAAAGTAAAAAAAGTATGCTTAAATAAAAATTCTGCGTCGATGAGATTGCTTTCTTTCTTAATGCTTCTTAAACGTAAAGTTAAGACTTTTAATTTGTATTTTTTTCTTATATGATTATTAGAGTTTGGATAAAAAGCATATGAATCATGTAATGTTTATAACAGAATATTTACGCAATCCAGTTAAAAAGTGCTTAAAACTTTACTATAAATTTTTTTTCTTTAAAATTTAAATTAAAAAATTTTATTAAAATTTTTTATTAAGAAATTTAGGGTAAAACGAAGAAACGTAATCCAAGTTTTATCCAAACGGTTTAAATCCTTAAAAATACTGTAATAAAAACATTTTAATAATACTTTTATAGGGTGCGTAGCGTTTTTAAAAAGTGCTTAAAGGTGCTTATTTTCGATTTTCTTTTTTAAAAGCTCTTAAAGGTGCTTTTTTTCATTGGGTGTTTTTAAAAAGTGCTTAATTTTCCCTTTTTCAAAATGAGATTTTTCCTTTCTCATGTTGATTTTCGCTTCGAATTGTGCAGAAATACTCAGTTCACATTGTTCTATTCAACGTTTGCACAATTAATTCAACCGTATTCGGCGTATTGTCAGTCCGTAGCGTATGAAAAAGCCATTCGTTTTACATGATTCAAACTTTCATGATTTTTGACAGTTGTCAAAAGCAATGCCAAAAGTTTCTTTTTTTAACATGCCGGTTAAAACATGATAAAATCAATTGTCAAAACTTTCCAACCCTGCCTAATTATATATTTTTAAAGTGCTTAAAAATATTTTTTGAGTGCTTGAAAAGTGCTTATTTTTTGTTGATTAATTTGGCTAAAATTATAATTTAGATAAAAACTATTTTAATATTGTTAAACCTAAAAATGCCTCATTACTTTTTCATGAATCTTAAAATCTATATCTTGTTGCAGTGAAATTTAAAACAGTAAAAATTTGAGGAAAATTCGATGTTAAACTTTTTTTGATTTTAGCGAGAAAATTTTTCAAACATCTAAAGTATCAAAGAAATTTGTACTTCAACATTTTAATCTTATTTATTCAATGCTTCAATGTGATTCTATTTAATAAACCTTTATGCACTAGCTTCTTCATCTAAATTTTTATTTCCTTCAACAGAGAGAGAATATAATCGGGGAGTTTGAAAAATTGAAGTATAAAATCTAGACAAAAACGAAACAAAAAGAAAAATATTTACAAAAAAAGTTCATCTGGGTTATAATAAGTAATTCGAGGTTAAACTCTTCATTTCCTTGCCTTTGGGCTTCCTGGGATGGAGAGAGAGATGACACGCCGAAGCATATCAAATTATAATATTAACAGTAATAATTGAAATGACTATGTACACTACTTACAATAATATTTTGACGCAGTGCCATTGGAGAGTAGGAAACTAGAAGGGGTGTCTTATATTATTGATTATTAACTATGTTGAAGATGTTGTTGACATTTGCTGAATCACAATAAAGTGCTTTATTATAGAATTTGGCCTTTTATTATACAATATAGAGTAGAATATTACTTACGTAGT